GGTCTGTCCTAGTTAATGAAAAACTTGATTGTTACAAGAGTCAAACTAATTAAAAAGATTAAACTATGAACAAAATCAAATTAGAAATTTGGCTTTAGGCTTATGTGGCCAGCAATAGCTCAAGAACATTGTAAACTGCAGTCTGCAGTTAAATACAATTAATGGAAGTTTTAAAATTGTTAGAATAATTAACTGTGGATCATTTCTGTAACCTGACTATATGAAATCCACAAAACAAATTATAATTCTTAAATGTAAGCATGTAAGTACATGTCAGAGGTCTAAGCCATGAAAACACCCATGCCTTCTAAGTCTTGCCAGCAAATAGTATTTATTAACTAATGCAATCCAACATACTTAATATGTATATCTTTTCCCCTCAAGCATACCAAATTCTAGTGTATGACAGCACATAAAATAATTTTCTTCTCCCAGATGATAGCCTAATTTATATTTTTTTACTTTCCTTCAAAATAACTACCTAAGCATAGCCAGGTCAGTTCAAAGGTCCATCTAACTACACAGTCTCAGAGAGTGGCCGTTAACTTACGCAGAAATATCAGGGTGAATAAAAAGCAACTTTTTTTTTTCTCTCACGTACCTCCAGCCTATTCCAAAACATTTAAATAGCAAAAAAGCAACCTTTCTCAATTTTAACATTATATAACAGATGTCTAAAAACCAGTTGTGCATAGTATGATAAATTATTAGCATTAAGTATTTCTAGTGATACAAGGATAATCTTCCAGAAATAAAGACACAACAGGCCCAACCACAAAGAGGCCAACATCTAACATCCAGGGGAACATGCAGAAAGACAATGGGAAGAAGGAGAGGGAGTGTTTGTTTCACTCTGGCACTAATACGTATCAGATAACTAAGAAGTGCCATGGGACAAGATAAGGAAGACTTCAAGGCACACTAGGAGTGCTAACTTCTCCTGGCTATCACAACCTTGGCCTTTGGGTGGGGTGGCAGGGGGAGAATTGGGGCAAGGGTGGAAGGGTGGGTGGGTGTGTAAATCAAAAGAAACTTGTGCAGAAAATGCCTTGCCAGACTGCCACCATGGGAAAAACAGCTAGACTACTGGACTGATCGAACAACAAAAGGAAAATCATTTCCCAAAACAAACAAACAAACCTACACAGAAAACAGAATACTAACCCCAGCTTTGATAAAGAAGAACTACATCACCCTCAATAAATTCTAACATATAAAACTCTTAATTTCAGAAAGACAGGTTTTTACACTGCCTTAAACCTTTGTTAAAAATCTCTATGTTAAAACTAATTTATCACTCCTTTTCCTGTGGAAGGTTTCAGAAACTTCCTTTTTTTTTTTCTGTACTTTTGTATCTTTAGTATCTGATTAAATGTGCTTTTTACAGATTTTATGAATTAGTGTTGCTTACGCTGATATCTATGGGTAAAATAAAACACTGCACTATATACGTTTTCCTTTTTTTCTACAGACTTGTCATACACTTTATCAAACTGTATAGCTGTTGGTACAAAGCTGTATCTGAATTTGTCATCGTGCATTCTTTCTTTTACTTAAAAAAATCTAGTAGCAGAGATAGTTTTGCAGGAACAGTGCAAAAGTCCCCATCTCTTTCTCAAAAGATAACACTTGCGAACTTTCACATTCAAATCAACTCTGAAGTTCCTTCAACACTCTACGGCAGGACTGCCACAGAAAGAAGTTGCTTCTTCCCTTATGCCAGCACAAGCATTTGTAAGCTCTTGTGATAAATCAGGCAAGAAAATGAGTCAGGCTAAAATTAACACAGGTTTGGGGTTTTTTTGTTTCCTACAATGTTTTAACCCGGACCTGCTCACCCATCCGTTTTGGCATAGGGCAAAACAAAATGCTTGTAGAGAGGGCATAGAACAGAGGTTGGGACAAGCGCAGCTTCTTCAGTGGCAGTTCTGACTTCACCTACAAAGGCTGTTTAAGTCAGTCTCTGAGAAACTCTATGCATTTTGGATTGATGGGGCTATTTTTAGTATATCTGACAATTAAGTACACTACTATTAATCTTATTCATAATGATGACAAGGGTATATATAAATGACAGCAAAATATTCTCTTGTGACCAAAGAAAGTTGTATCTGAGATTTAATAGTTTACAGAAAACAATATACAAGCCTGGAGTTTGACAAGGCAGTAAAATACAGTCAATTTTGAAAAAAAAATTCAATAGTCATTGAAAAGCTTTTCAGCAGAGCAGATGTTGAGTTTCTAAAACTTCTTTCAACCTTCAACTATCTTACAGCAAGAAATATAATATTGCTAATACAATTGTTCCCAACTTGTATTTAGTTGCTGGCTCGATTTTGGAACTGAAGGAGGACTCCTTGGGTGCCTTAGAGTTGTTAGTTGTTTTCTGCTTCTATCACCTGGTTAAGTAAAAATTATCACCTCTCCCCATAAGCCTTACTAAATTGACAAGCATTTGACTTACAGCCCTGAAACCAATTGCTATGTAACTTGAACAGCTGCACTGTAAAGGGGAACATCAGCAAAAAAAAAAAATTTTGTAGTCAAAGTGCAGTAAACCTCAACTCTGCCACATGCTAGCTGCCTAGTTTGGTTAAACTCAATTTGATCTATTGAACGGACACTTGTCCCCAGCCATAGCATACCACAGTTAAAATCACTCCTTCAATAGCTGAAATTATACATCACATACTGTCCCACTCCAAGAAGGCACCAACCCATCACTGTAATCTAACACACCAGAAACCACCTTTGACTCCATTAAGCACCTGATCTAGTGTTTCATTCATCATACATATGCAGTCCAGAGGCTTTTCCTTTCTACATTGCTCAGAAGGTACATGTTGATTTTAAAATTCTCAATTTTCAGGACAGTGCTAATGTTATCATACAGATATATCAAAACACTGTAAATGAATCTGGCCTACATTTTATTACCCAGAACCCCAAGTAGAGGGAGGGAAAGGATAGAAAAACATTCTTTTTAAAAAAGTCCTTGGCACAAAAGCTGCTGCTCAGGCTCTCTGGGACAGGTGCCCAGAACGTCTCAAGTTCCAATAAGAAAAGCCTTCATTACAAGAAGAGGTCTGGACACAAAAATACAGATGCAGTATCAGAAAAATTGCTAATAAAGACACAAATTTGTAACCAATTAAGTTGACCGTGACTTCAATAAGCCAAAAGAACAAAAATTTGCAGGAACTGACCCAAAGCCTGGTGGCCAAAACACCAAGTTACTCACGCATCTTCTGTTAAGAGACAGAGCATCTTTAGATGATGCATGGCCAAGAAGGCAGCAAAAACCCTACAGTTTCAAGGATTGATTCATGCCTGAATCTGTACATTCTGCTAAAGCTGGCTTTTAATATTAAGTCGTAATTAAAGTTGTGGAAAGTTATCTTTTAATTGAACAAAACTTTTTCAAGCATTTCTATCCCAAGCACTGCATCATCATAATATTCCACATACCAAAGTATTTATTCCCATTTAAAGTTAGTCTACAGTCTTGAGGTCATCTGAATTCCTTAACAGCAGATAATTAAAAAATGACAGGGAAAAAAAAAAAAAAAAATCTTCTCTTAGCCTGAAAATTATGTCCAACATGCACATGTGAATTCAGCAAAACATACATGCATGATTTTGAAATTCTATTATCCCTATTACCTAGGAATGGTAAGCTCACCATTTCAAGTTCTCCACCTGGGACAAAATACCCATTTCAATGAGCACCCCAAAACTGCACTCCTGCCCTTTCCACACAGACTTTGATTCAAGGTCTCTGTCCAAACAATCAAAACTCTAGGATCTTCTCCTGTAACTGGCAATATTCCACTGGAGTTCTGAAAATACGAGGCTGGACTTCTCCATTCAATAACTTTCAAAACTGTAATTGGACAACATGGCTCATTTTCAAAGAACCAAGTGACACACGCCTTGATGCTTTGAAAGCAAAGCACAAAGCCTACATTCTCTTCACATTTATAGGTAAGACATTTTTCGATGTACTAACTGACTAGCCAAGACCATGATATCTATTTTTCAGTCTTTCTGGGGTCACTGTTGTGATAGGAAACAGATCATCAGATGAGAGAATATTTCCGATCTCTAAAAATTATTACTACATCTCCACCCTGGGCATAGGACCAAATCCCAGGTTATGACAACTTTCTGGTCCAAAGACCATGGCGTTAACAAACGAGCTGTGCCAATATTTGATCAATGGTCAACTTTATTCTCTATTTTCAGCATAGAGTTAAGAAATAATACTAGTGTATCCCAGTAGTATTGCATGTTTCCAGTGGAAAAAAGGATTAAAAAAAATAAAAAACAGAGATAAGCCTCCCAGTTCCCCAGGATGCCATCAAGCAAGCAGAGAAGATGCTTTCTTAACAGTCCCTTTTGCTTATGAAAATTTAGCAACTTTGCCAAGCACCAGTTATACCGAATAGGAAAGAAACGATATGTATTATATCAAACTGCAAAATCTGAGGCAGGTTTTACAGATGAAACAATTTCAAAATTCCACCTACAAACACCAGAAATTCATCTTCGCTGTTTGGGAACAGCGCTACGTTTTCAGTCAAGAATACCTTTACCTAGATCTACTTGTTTCCCCTGCTCAGCTCTGCTTGTTCAAAGTGCTGGAACCCACAAAAACCTTCTAGCTTACCAACAAAAATTTTAAGTAACATACGCTGCAATTATTACTTATGATTCCACTTCAGACCTCTCCCCAAAACTGTGGATGTATTTCACGTACAAATTAGCAGTTTCATGTTATCAACTCTGGCTTTGAGAGAACTTGCAAGAGCACAGTCATGAATTACAAAAACGACTCCTCTTCTAAGGAAAAGCAAGGAAGTGGTATTCCCATAAAGGCAAGGAGACATTTCAACTATGACAAGGAAACAGTTCTCTGGCAGTTCTCATTTCCCGTGATGAAACGTTTACCTTGAGAAGCAAAAGTTGCAGGGAAGGGGATGGTGGTCGGGATTGCTCACCTTTAACCGTTTAACCACCTCATCGTTGGTAATTTTGTCCGTAATCTCCTTCACTCCAGGAGGATAGTAGATGATTTTACCATCGGCAGCAGGTTTTGGTTGGGCAGCCGGGAAGTCCATCCTGGTGCTGCTGGTTATAAACTTTCCTTCTCCACAATCCTCTACCGGCCTCTATCGGTCAGAAAACAAAAGTTCAGCAGAATGGAAACGACTTTCTAACCCTCTTTTTCCCTTTCTCACCCTCAATTCGCAGAAGGCCCCGGTTATCACCCCGCCGGCTGCGCCCCCCGCCGCCGCCCG